CATCCAGATTGATAAAGAAGTTAAACTGTCCTGTTTGCAGATGACATGATATTGTACATAAAAAAACCCTAAAGAATCCACTCCAAAACTACTAGATCTAATATCTGAATTCAGCAAAGTTGCAGGATACAAAATGAATACACAGAAATCTGTGGCAATCCTATACACTAATGATGAACTAGAAGAAAAAAAAAATCAGGAAAACAATTCCATTCACAACTGCATCAAAAAGAATAAAATACCTAGGAATAAACCTAACCAAGGAAGTGAAAGGCCTATACTCTGAAAATTACAAGACACTCATGAGAGAAATTAAACAAGATACCATTAAATGGAAATATATCCCATGCTCGTGGATAGGAAGAATTAATATTGTCAAAATGGTCATCCTGCTCAAAGCAATCTACAGATTCAATGCAATCCCTATCAAAATACCAACAGCATTCTTCAAGGAACTAGAGCAAATAGTTCTAAAATTCATGTGGAACTGCAAAAGACCCCGAATAGCCAAAGCAATCCTGAGAAGGAAGAATAAAGCTGGGTGGATTACACTCCCTGACTTGAAGCTCTACTACAAAGCCACAGTAATCAAGATAATTTGGTCATGGCACAAGAACAGACCCATAGACCAACAGAACAGACTAGAGAGCCCTGATATAAACCCAAGCATATATGGTCAATTAATATATGATAAGGGAGCCATGGATATACAATGGGGAAATGATAGCCTCTTCAACAAGTGTTGTTGCCCAAACTGGACAGCTACATGCATGAGAATGAAATTCGATTATTGTCTAACCCCATACACAGAAGTAAACTCAAAATAAATCAAAGACCTGAATGTAAGTCATGAAACCATAAAACTCTTTGAAGACAACATAGGCAGAAATATCTTGAATATAAACATAAGCAACTTCTTCCTGAATGAATCTCTTCGAGCAAGGGAAACAAAAGCAAAAATGAACACATGGGACTACATCAAACTAAAAAGCTTCTATACAGCAAAGGACACCACCAACAGAACAAAAAGGCATCCTACAGTATGGGAGAATATATTTGTAAACAACATATCTGACAAGGGGTTAACATCCAAAATATATAAAGAACTCACACGCCTCAACAACCAAAAAACAAATAACCTGATTAAAAAATGGGTGGAGGATATGAACAGACAATTCTCCAAAGAAGTTAAGATGTCCAACAGGCACATGAGAAGATGCTCCACATCATTAATTATCAGGGAAATGCAAATTAAAACCATGAGATATCACCTCACACCAGTTAGGATGGCCAGCATAGAAAAGACTAAGAACAACAAATACTGGCAAGTATGCAGAGAAAGGGGAACCCTCCTACACTGCTGGTGGGAATGTAAATTAGTTCAACCATTGTGGAAAGCAATATGGAGGTTCCTCAAAAAACTAAAAATGGAAACACCATTTGACCTGGGAATTCCACTCCTAGGAATTTACCCGAAGAATATAATTTATCAGATTCAAAAAGACATATGCACTCCCATGTTTATGACAGCACTATTTACAATAGACAAGACATGGAAGCAACCTAAGTGTCCATCAGTAGATAAATGGATAAAGAAGAGGTGGTACATATACAAAATTACATACTATTCAGCCATAAGAAGAAAACAAATCCTACCATTTGCAACAACATGGATGCAGCTCAGTGAAATAAGTCAGCCAGAGAAAGACAAGTGCCAAATGATTTCCCTCATTTGTGGAATATAACAACGAAGCAAAACTGAAGGAACAAAACAGCAACAGACCACAGATTCCAAGAAGGGTCTAGTGGTTACCAAAGGGGAAGGGTGGGGAAGGGCGGGTGGACAGGGAGGTAGAAGGGGATTGAAGGGTATTATGATTAGTACACATGGTGTGGGGGGATCATGGGGAAAACAGTGTAGCACAAAGAAAGCAAATAGTGACTCTGTGGCATCTAACTACACTGATGGGCCGTGACTGATGGGGACACGATATTATGGGTGTATGTAGTAACCACATTGATTTTTCATGCAAAACCTTCAAAAGAGTGTATATCAATAATACCTTAATAAAAAAATAAAAGAAGTCATACAACTCAACACCAAAAAATCCCAAATAACCCTACTGAAAGTTGGACAGAATCTGAATCAAAGACATTTTTCCAAAGAAGCCATATTGATGGCCAACAGGCACATGAAAAGATGCTCAACATCACTAATCGCCAGGGAAATGCAAATAAAAACCACAATGAGAAGTCACGTCACATCAGTTAGAATGGCCTCCATCCAAAAGACAAGAAATGACAAGTGTTGGAGAGGATGTGAAGAAAAGGGAATCATCCTACACTGTTGGTGGGGATGTAAATTGGTACAGTCACTGTAGAAAGCAGTATGGAGTTTCCTCAAAAAACTAAAAATTGAAATATCATTATGATCCAGCAATTCTATTTCTGGGAATTTTTCTGAAGACACCAAAATCACTGATTCAGAAAGATACAAGCATGCCTATATTTGTTGCAGCACTATTTACAAAAACCAAGATATGGAAGCAACCCAAGTGTCCATCAATAGATGAATAAAGTTGTGGTACATATGCACAATGAAGTATTACTCAGCCATAAAAAAGAAAGAAATCTTGCCATTTGCAACCATGTGAGTGAACCTAGAGGGTATTATCCTGATGAAATAAGCCAGGCAGAGAAAGACAAATACTGTGTTGTATCACTGTGTATGTGGAACCAAAAAAAAAAACCAAAACAGACAAACAAAACAGAAATAGACTCATAGACATAGAGAAGAGACTGGTGGTTGCCATAGGGGAAGGGGGTGTGAGTGAAATATGTGAAGGGGATAAATAAGTACATAAATCCAAACTGTAATATAAATTAGTCAGAAATTAGGGGGATGAAAGTATAGCATTGGGAATATGGTCAACAATATTGTAATATCTTTTTATGTTGACAGACAGCAACTACAGTTATTGTGGTGAGGATTTAATGAGGCAGATAACTGTATACAACACTATGTCTATACCTGAAACCAATAACACTGTATCTCAACTATACTTCAATAAACAAATAATAGTGCTACCACATCACAGCAAATTCTGGAAGGCTGCCCTGAGGGTTTCACAAGCAAGATGGAAACCAAGGGCACATAGGAGGCAAGGAGCCAGAAATAGGGGTCAGGGTGGCAGCCCCGGAGGTCCTGCTCGGGGCTACAAAGCCAGTACTGGTGGTTCAGCACACTGCCAGGGCTGAAGCAGCCTGTAAGAACGAAGGGCCTGGGAGCTGGGCTTTGTCAGTGAGGAGAGCTATTGGTGGGTGGACGTGGTGGTTGTTGATAGGTCTCTCTCTTTGCCTTTCCCTTTGGTTCTCCCAAGAGGCTGGTGAGGTCAAGAGAAGCCAGGGTCCCATTTCATCCTCCCTCACCCACAACATGCACTTACACCTTACACCTGCTGCTAAAAAAGCTGCAAATACGAGTAGGAACCAGGGGAAGTGCAGCCTAAGGAGGTTGCAGAAGTTGCCCTCTAGACTGGGGCAGAAAGGCCCAGCCCTCCCTGCTCACCAGCTGAAAAGATGTGATAGAGATTTAGGGCCACTGCAAATTTAGCAAGCACAAATCTCAGTTCCCAAAGTAACTGAGAGGTAGTCCCAAGCATCTGTTTTTCTGTCACTTCTTTTTAGAGCTGCCATTCTACTGGGATCCAGGTAGAAACCCAATCTCAGCTGACATGGTGTTACATCCATTCCAGGGAACTTAGAATGCTAAGGCACTGGGTGCAGGGGTAGAGCGTAGTCTCAGTGTCATCTGGCCACTTGGCTACTCAGGTGTCCTTCATTTGTGATCTTGTCAGGAAGAAGCATTCACTCAGCTGCTGCTTCTGCAAGGATTTCTCCAAGGCTGCCTAAGGCTCCATCTGCCTGGATGCAAGTCCCCATGAAACCTCACCCCCAAGGCCTTGCAGGTCTTTCCCAGAGCTCTGGCTGGGGAACAGGGCCTGGGATGCTCTCTCCAGGCCCTCAGCCACATCCTTTGCACTGCTCTTCCAGCTCCAGGACTCTGTTGTAGGTGGGGAGTTTTAGGGGAGGGTGAGAGAATATTTGGATGCCAGGGTTGCCCTAATGAAGTACCACAGACTGGATGGCTTCAGTTGTGAAGAAAATAAAAGTCTAGGATCAAGGTCTCATCAGAGTTATTTGCTTCTAAAGGTGGTAAGGGAGAACCTTTTATGCCTCTTCCCCACAGCTTCAGGTGGTTTGCTGGCAATCTCTGCCTTGTGGCAGCGTCATCCTGATCTCTGCCTTTTTCTTTACATGGCATTCTCCCTGGGTGCATGTTTGTCTCCAAATTTCTCCGTTGTATAAGGCCACCAGTCATAGTGGATTAGAGGCTCACCCCACTGCAGTAAAATGGCCTAATTTTAACTACCTCTGCAATGATCCTATTTCCAAGTAGGGTCACATTCTGAGATACTAGGGGTTAGGACTTCAACATAAAAATTTTAGGGGGACATGTGTAACCAAAAATGGGAGGCTGTCAATTCGGTGGGAAAGGGAGTTATCCTTTCTCTCCTTATTTCTGCTGCTCCTCAGGATTTTTATCCAATCATTTTGGCTATTCCCTAGGGTTATCCTTCCTTTAAGGGGCACAAGCTTTGGAAATCAAGATAAGGAAGTTCCTTTCATTCTGCTTTCTGCCTTGCTGCATCCCATCCCTGTGGTGCAGGACGAACACCTGACGATGCCGAATGACAGCTTAGTCCCCTGAATCTAAGCAAGAGCAAAAGAAAAATCAGTACATCTGTCCATATCTCAAAGATGCTCTCCTGCCACACACACGAGCACTCCTTTCTCTGGAGAATTGAAGATGGAAGCTAAGGCCAGAGGAGCTAATGCAGGAGGATTTGGGGATTCAGGATTCTAGTTGTGTCCTTTTTGGAGACATGAGTGGCCAACCAGCAGTTGAACCCTTAGTAAGTAAGAAGAGAAGGACAAGCTTTTTAAAAAACGCATTTATTTTAAAATTTTACATAATCTTTGGGTAATTTGGAATTAGCTTAGGTGTGTTTCAGAAGTTTCTGAGATTGGTATCTCAACTCCAAACGAATATCAACAGCTGATTTGATTGGTGGAAGGATTAGAGGACCTCACAATATAGGAGGAATAGATGGCTGGTGAGGAAGATAGAACCCTTAAAGACAGGAGCTTTCCTGAAGCAGTCATAATTTTTAAATTATTTGTCACAGACAACAAACATCTCACCAGACTAATAATATCCCTACTTTATGTGCATTTTACTTGAGTTTCCGTATGGAGAGAGCACAGCATTAAAAGTTCTGTAGAACTCAGAATCACACTTAAATTAATTTGATCCCTTATATTAATAATAACAATTAAAATCTAGCATCTACCCAGTGTGTCATCTCAGTCTGCACCCACATCTATCTCCCGCTGACGGAATGCCACCTTCCTCTGCACTCAGTGTTCATGATTCGAAGATTGCAGTGAGAGTGTCAAATCAGAGCATAAAGCAAGCCAAGAATTCACAGGTCCAGAGAGGTGAAAAGATTCATTCCACACAGCAGTAAGCGGCCCAAGTGCCCTGCCCATTCCCGAGCAGAATCAGGCCTGGGCTGCAGAAAGGGAGGAGGTGGAGGAACACAGTCTGTACCTTCCATTGCCTCGCATGGTCTCCTGGGTGTTGCAAGCAGGATAGCTGTTGTCTCCCAATAGAACAGCTAATTCCCTGAGGACAGGATCCACTCTCTAGCCTCCAGCAAAGCAGGGTCCTTCCTGCCCAGCTGTGAGCACAGAGCAGGTCCTTGATTAAGGAAGGAAGGAAATCACTGTGTATTGAGCCCTTGCTTTGTGCCAGACAGAGCCGGGACAGGTGTTTCATGAATGCCTTACGATAGCCCTATGAGGTAGGCTCATCACCCCCATTTGCAGTCGTGGAAATAGAGGCTCAGAGAGGAGAAAGTGCCACAGTGGCATAGCTAGTAAATAGGGAAGCATCAATTAAAAAACCCAGGGCTTCTCACTCCAGCATTGCCTATATAAGCCAATGGTTTGACAGTAAATGAGCACTCCAGCTCCCAGGGGGCTGGTTGGGAGCTCCACACCAGAGGCTCTTGAGCGCATGAGGCCAGCTTCAGGCATCCAGGAGCCTGAGTCTAGAAAACCGAGCTCTACAGCATGACTTTGCAATCCTAAGCAATTTCTTTACCTTCTCGACATCAGGAGCTGGACCAGTTGGGTGTGGTTCTCTAGCAGGGGGAGGGGATTAGCAAAACTATCTGGGAAGCACGTTTGCAGACCCCAGTGGGAGGGCCTCTTCCTGGAGACTCTGACATTGTTATCTTGCTGGACCGGGTGGAGGGCGTGGCAATTGGATACACCTGTGAGAGTCAGTTATGATCCCTAAGGTTCTGACCTCTGAAAGTGACTTAAGTTCTAGGCAACCACACCCCACTCCCTGAAAGAACTTTCACAGAAGGCCTATGAAGGTCAAAGAATCAAGTCAGGAAATGTTTACAGTAGAGAATGATTAAAAGTAATTTGGGAGGGAGAAGACTACTTTAAAGGGAGAAAACAAGATGGCAGTTAGAAGAAGTTTGGGATGGGCATTCACAAGGAAGAGGTGGATACAGGGTGTAAATCCAGCTGGTAGCATAGGGTCAGACCAGGCTGAGCTTAGAGAAATCAGTGTTTTGGAATGTGGCTGGCCTGGTGTCTGCAATGGGGCTGCACTTGCTGCCTCAGACATGGGTAGAGGTTTTCCTCAAAAAATAATTTGAGCCTCAGGCAGACCTTAGAGAATAAATATGGGCAATAAAAGCAAAAGGGAAAACACAAATGACTCAGACAAAATCTGCCTGACATGTTTCTCCTCTTCCTCTAAAATCCACTCCATGGCCCCAGCTCTGTGAAGCCCTGGGTGACCCACAAACACGGCCAGTGGGTGGCCCTACTGCGTGTGCAGGCAGCACTGGAAGCTCACCTCTCTACAAGTGCACTGAGCTCACTGAATCCTACCTGGCCATCTCTCCCACTGAACTGGGAGCAACTTCGGGGCCCTGTGCCTTTCTGTGCCTCTCATCTCCATCTGGAGAGGGTTTATGAGTTCATCAAGAGACGTTGTCCATAAGCACCCAGGCTAAGGACCAGCCAAACCAGCCGGAGTGATAGGAACACTGCCTCTCCCAGGCACATGGGCCTCGGGAGCAACTTTGCCCTCCAGAGTCGCCCTATTCTGAGCATAATCATAATTTGGGAGAACTTTGAGACACGAAATCAATGCCTAGGCAGAGATTTCAAGCAACACAGAGTGCTGGTTTCCAAGAATCACATCATTCAGGTGGGGAAAACAGCCCAGCTTTGGTAGCCCTGGTGGCAAGATGGATTTTGCATTTACCTGTGTGGAAGGAAGGAAGAACTTTGTCTACAAAGAATGTTAAGTGGTGGGGGGCTTTGGGCTCTCACACCTCTGTGGCCACAGGGCAGGCTGCACCTGGTTTTTGCCCTCAGGTTCCTGAAGCCCTCTGGCTCTTGATGACAGGCCTAGAGCACAGGCTCTGACAGTTTAGGAACATGGTCTTCTCAGGCCTGTGGCCAAGAGACAGGCTGTAATATGCTCAGTGAAGAAGGGTGAGGGGACCTGGCTGGAGCCCCTGCTCAGCAGCGAAGCTTCCGGAATCCAGATAGCGTGGCTTTTCCTAGCAGGTAGATTTCCTCATCTGTACCCTGGTTGAGGTGCTTCACCAGATTCTTCTCAAAGAGGAGTGGGTGGTAGGCGCCCATCGTGCAGGCACTGTCAAAGAACTTCTGGTAGTAGTAGCACACGTCAGTCTTGCGCTTGGAAGGGAGGAACTCGTAAATATCCACCTGGTCACACAGCGTCATCATGACGATGATGCCTAAAGAGGAGAGCAGAGGTAAGTCCTGCCTGACAACCCACGCCAGCATGCAGAGCTCTGCCCATTGCATTCAGCAGCTTGTGACCTCAAACTTAGGGAGGCATCTACCTGGAGTTTCTATTTATGACTGTACCTCCCATTCTGAGTTCCTATAAGCCAAGCCAGCAGGCCATTCCTCGGGCTGCAGGGCTTTTATGCCCTGTGCACCTTTGTGTCCCCAGTGCCTAGGCCAGGGTCTGGAGCATGGCAGGCTCTCCCTAAACACCAGCAGATTGAAAGCCTCCATCTGTCAATGAATGTATCACTGCAAATAAGCTCTAGGAAGAGGGAGGACAAGGTGACTGGGGAGGCAGCCCGTCACATGCAGATAGTACTTTCTAGCACTTTCATATCTTGGAGGAGCCTCTTACATGGTGCTATTTGGGAGAAGGTGTTTCTTAAAGTACTTGGAAGAAACAATATGGGGAGGAAAGACTCTCCTTCCCTCAGCTGGGAGGCGGGCAGTTGGAATAGGAGTTCGCCATGGTGCGTATGATGGGCTCTGCTCATTCAGGCAGGAGAGAGGAGCCGAGGGGGTGCGGCCGCCAGGTGGGTGCCCTCAGGGAGGCAGCAGGGGACACTGTGCCTGGAGATGCAAACCCAACAAGAGGCAGAGGACTCTGCTTGTAGCCACCTGGCTGTCATTTGTGCAGGGCACATCCCTCTCTGGGCCGCAGGTTCTCCATCTGCCCCAAGGGTGATCTACCCACTCCTCCTACCACAGAGGCTACTGTTAGCACACAATTAAATCATGGCTCTAAGACCCCTTTTATCAACCAAAAATATAGGGAATCTTTATGATGGAACAATTCTCACTAACAGCAAAACTCTAACTGCTAGCAGCAACTTATTCCAGAAAAATTAGATATGGGAAACACCCTACCTCTGCCTTTGGCTACCTCTGGTCCAGTGGGGGAGAAAAGACACCTTCGCAGCTAACTGGTGAAGGCACAACAGAAGTGCTTGCAGGAACTGTGGGAGGAGCCCTTCCTAAGGGAGAGGGCTCGAGGAACCCCCCAGGAGCCCTGGTGTGGGGCCCAGCAGGGGCTATGGCCACGAGGGACGGGCGGGAGAGGAGGGCTGCTGGTAGACAGAACAGTGTGGGCAAAGGCAGGATAGTAAGGGCACTGGGGACGTGTTCCCCAGGATGCTTCCCAAACTACTCCTGCTCAAAAGGGTCCCAGAAAGAGCCCCAAATGCACACATCCAAAAGCTGAAGAAAAAGGTATGAAGGGGATGTGATACTGAAAGAGCCTTTGTCTCTTCCGATAAGGGGTGCCTTTGATATTGACCATTATTTACTTCAGGAACATTTACCACAGGGGTATTCTGTGCCAGACCCAACACAGGTCCCATTCTGAGGGCGTTTGCAGTCACAAATTGGGGAGTGGCGGGGCCATCGGTGGGAAAGTGGTCCTCTGTGGGGCCCAGAGGGGACAGCTTCCTTTCCTTTTCATTTACAGAGCCTGCAGCCCTGTAGAAATATTTCTGATGGTCCAGCCAAACTCAAAGTAACAGAGAGGGAAGGGCAGATAGACCATAAAGGGCAAAAGGTGTGGAGGAAGTCCAATAAGAAGGTTTATGGGCAGCATTCAGGACCTGTAAACCCTGACCCTGGCCCACCTCACAGGAGCTCCCACAGCTCTGTTCATGACCCCTGAGCCCAGCAAAGCCTCACCGCTTCTCTCTGGGCCATAAGGAGGGTGCTCATGAGGTTGAACAAATTTTTGAAATTTTGAATAAAGTATTATTCTTTCTTTTCCCTCAGATTCCAATACGGCTCAGCACTGACATTACTGATCCTGTCTTTATTTAAAATTTTGATATTTTATTCATCATAAAATTTTGCATTAGCTGTGATTTCTTAAAAAAGATATTGTAATAAGATACTATTTATCTCATTACTGAATTTTTTGGTACCCCCTTAAATTATACTCCTGAGCACCCCACTTGCCTTTCTGAGTCCCAGCCCTGCTCCTCCTGTCTTCTTGCCTCCCTTCTTGTTTACCAGATCAGCCCCTCTCCCAGGCCTGGTCCAATGCTACTCCTCTACAAATCCCTCAGACTGTCCTGGAAAGGGGTCTTCTGTCTTGTGGCACTGGGGTGGCATGCCCTCCTGGCACAAACTAAATGTTGCTTCAGACACCAGAATGAACTCCCCCACTGGACACCCCAAAGGAGGACTCTATCTTGTTGATTTTTGTATTGCCAAAACTTGACACAGTGTACAAACAGCAAAAACCTAGCAATTGTTCGGTGAACGAGCAAATGAATGAACGAATAAATGAATGAAGGAATGAATGAATGAGACCCCAGTAAAAAGCTAATCTCTTCTAGAAACAAACATGAGAGGTCTTTCCCCAGACACAGACTCACCAAGCATCCCAGAGGATGGTGGGTTTGGCTGAATCTTCTCTGGGGAGATTTTCTGAATGATATCCCACAGCTCCCAAGGCATCTGGGGCTTGAGAATATAAAAGGGCTGACCAGGATGCAGCTTACGATAGCTCTTGTAGTTGGCAAAAAAACTGTAGTCAGGATTCTGGTACCACTGCAAAAGACGGAGGAAATATCTTCTCAAGGGGAGAAATGTGCCAGTGCCACCAGTACTACCAGGCATCACCCTGACCTGAGGCCTTGTTGGGGGAGGTGGTGAAGGACCAGGGCAGGATCCTAAGGAATAGCACCCCCTTCCTTGGAGCACACTCACTGGAGAGCATAGCAGAGGGTACTCAGCATGCAGCCTGTGTTCACAGGGAATTTTTAGCTTGGTGATCCTGAGACAACCTCAGGCTTTAGGACCATATTATCTGGAAATAATACCAGAGCTCAAAGAGGCCCCTGCCATCATCTAACACCACTTTTCCTTTATTAAGGGGCAAAAATTGGAGCATAGCTGGCCACATCTGGCTCAGAGTCCTTGCCCTGCCCTGGGCAAATTTCAGTTCGAAGAAAGACCAGTGCAAAACTGGAAACTGAAATAGGGTGCTAGGGATTACCATAGCCTGTCAGCTATTGGTACGTCCAATTTAAGACTTACACATCTCAAGAACAGAGCTCTCTGTTCCTCCACCTATGGCCATTCTCTGTGGCCACTGCAGCCCATATGAGGGAGAAGCCATCTGACATGCACGAGACATGCAGGGGCCATTCTGGAGATGCTGAGAGTCCAGGCCTGAGACACCTGCCTCCTTCCATGTCAGAGTAGATGTTGTATATATGGCCTATGGCCCTCTGCTTAGTATGTCCTAGGACAGGTGACCCCCTCCTCCACATTCCAGTTTCCTCTTCTGTAAATGGGAACAACAATGTGCCTACCTACTTCCTTATGTTGCTATAAGGGTGAATGAGAAGAATTCCAGAAATTGCAAGTGTGGGACAAATGTGGTAATATTATTTGTAAGAGTGATAAAACCAGCATCTATTCTTGCTGATACTCATCAGGAATGCAATGTATTAAATACAGATAAATTTTATTAAATGAACAATCCACCCCGGATGATAAGAAATTCAGCCACTATTGCTCCTGTACATACCATAGTTAGGAGACAAATTATTGGCCATGCGGGGCAGCGCCTGGAGACCACTGGCGTTAAGACAGGAACACTTCTGAACTGCTAGAGCAGATGAAGTGGGATGTCCTAAAACTGAAACAGCCAGTCTCTGGTGATGGCCTAGGTCAGCCATGACTTGAAAAACCCAGGAACTCAGAAAAATCTACAGGCAAATAGGAAAACCAATCCCTATTTCCCATGGCCATCCACGTACCTTTGGGATGTCTGAATGGTAAACAGACGGGTCCCACACAATTAGGATTCCTTCATTGTACAAACTGTCTTTGAGGAAGCGTACTTCTGTGGTGACCAACTGTAGGAAGAAACAGACAAGCTGATCTGTGGACATTCACCTGCAAATACTCGGCTTGTAGTAATAACTGACACATCATAAATACCGCCTGAGGCCCCAGAGCCCCATGAGGCTTCTAAATTTGGGTACAGCACTTAATTTCAGTGATATCTGAGATCAGCTGTCAGACATACGCCTGAAAAAGCAGGTGGGAGATGATGTTGCCCAGGAGGAAACTGAGAGGAACAGATGACAGAAATCAAATGAGAACTGCCTGAAAACAAAAGCAAGAATCCAGCAACGACCTTCTGCAGCCCATCACGCACCGTCCTGGAGGCAGAGACCTGAGGCAGACAGCTCACTACAACCCAGAGAACAGCAATTTGCCACGAGTCTCTGAGACCATTTAGCTACTTCATCCCTATGCCTTCCTCACACAGGAAGGCCCTGGAAGCCTACAGAATAAAATCCCATTTTCTTAGTATATCTTTAAGACAAGACAGATTGGTGGTGGGCCCACTTTGGCCAGGGACTGTGCAGCTGCACTGGGTCCTAAGGAGCCCCTAGTAGTCACTGGGTGGCAGGGTGAGGATGGCCGTAAGGTGAATAAGTGTTAAGGGACAAATCAGAACAGGCCAAGCCAAGGAGTATGGGGGGAAAAGGAGGATATCCCGGACAGGACAAACACGTGTGCAAAGCCCTAGGTGTGAGAGTATGTGGCAGAGACTGCTAGTTGTCACCCAGTATCCATTCTCTTTCTTCCTTGGTAATAAAGAGCTCTGATGTTTACCTCAATACATGGCTACCTAAAATAAAGACCCCCTGAAATAAAAATTCCCCAGTCTCTCTTAGAGCTAAGTATGGCCATGTGACAAAATTCTGGCCAATGGTGTGTAAGCAAATGTGACTTCCAGGAAATGTCCTTAGAGGCAGGGTCATGCGCTTCTCTGTTCCTTCTGCCTTTCCGCTGGCAGAAAGCTGATGTGATGGCTGGAGCCCAGGCAGTCATTGGGCCATGAAGTAAAAGTCATATGGTAGAATTGCAGATGCACAAGGCAGTAAAAGCCTAGGTTCCTGACACTCTGGAATACCATACCAGCTCTGGAATGTCTACCTCTGGACTTCTTTTACATGAGAGAGAAATACATTTTTATCTTGTTAAGCTAGTGTTGAGGGGTGGCACAGAATGTTCCTGTCACTTGTAGCCAACCCTATTTCATTTAGGACAGTGGCTTGTTTGGGGAATTGCAGGTCATCCAGCATGACTAGGATACACAGGGAGAGCTGGACAGGATCAGAGAAATGTAGACAGGGGCCATACCAGGGAATTTAGGATTTCTTCAGCAGATTAAAAAGCCAGTGAAGGTTTCTAAGTGAGAAGGATATAAACAGGCTTGTTTTTAGAGAAGTAAGAAATGAGGGGGGAATGAGGAAAAGGAGTTACATTGCCAGTTGTAGTCTTCCAGACTAATTGGATATTGAAAGAGAAGGAAAAGAAACCAAAGGTGACTCCTGGACCTCAGACTGTTTCCTGAAATGAGAACATGGAAAGAAGAGCAGCTGGTGTATACCTGGAGGGGCAGGGTGGGGATTTGAAGTCAAGGATGAGACAATTGCCTCCAGTCCCTCAGCTGAGAAGCACAGAAACTAGGAGTGGAAGCCTCATCTTCCAACTTTAAGAGAGCTCCTCTTCCCATGGGACAGCGTGACTCAGAGCACAGGCCCTCAGGGCTATAGTCCAAAAGCAGTGCAGGCATCCTGGGAGAAGGAGCTTTGCAGAGACAGACATGATTAAGCTAGTGACAGAGAGGCCCAGGGGACAGTAGGCTTCCCTCCCACTATTCTATAAATATCTTCCAAGACAGAATTCTACAACTTCACTCCCTATTGTCTCCACCTACTCCATCCCCTCAAAACAGCTGGTACATGAAAGCAAAAGTCTTTCTTGAGCTACACTTCTTTCTATGCAGAGCACTGATGCAAGTGATTCATACATACTCAGGAGGATTAGAGATAACTGGCATTTAAAAAAATGTCTCCTGATGCCATAGCACCTCTCCAGCAGTTTTCTTAGTATACAAAGCAGGAGGCCAATGGTACCAACTGCTGGCACCCTGAGACTTTCCCAGAATCAGTGGCTTCCCATCCTCAGAAATCCCAAGAGAGATGCACAAATTCTTCTCTTTTTTGGTAAAGGAGAACAATAATGAGAAGAAAGATGCTGCTTAAGGACACTTTCCAAGCCAGCTACTTTCATATGTTATCTTAGTTCATCTTCTCAACAGCCGTAGGAGGCAATTATTCATATGCCCATCTTATACATAAGGAAATAGACTCAGAAATGCTAAGTAGTATGCCCAAATGATATAATTAGTACTGGCCAGTCTAAATTGGAGCGCTTTTGTGTGGCTGCAGAGTCCACACTTGTAATCTGCAGGCTGCCTTGCCTCCTACCAAAAGGGCAGGATGGGACGCCCACGGCTCTTGGGAAGAGAAGAAAGCATTTAATGAGGGTGTGGAAGTGTCAAGAGAATTTTGCTTCTTCTCTGGTTTGTAGTATGTCACAGCTGGAAGATCCTTGAAGGACTGGATCCAATTCCCTAATTTTTCAGTTGGGTAAACTGAGGTCCAGAGAGAAGAGAGACTTGTCTGAGGCTTCACTGTGAGTTTGAGGTAGAGCCAGGAGAGAGTCCAGAGGTCAGCTCCTACCAGTGTTTTCTGGTCCTACTGGGGTGCATGCATAAAGGGCAAGACACTGAAATGAACCAGCACGCTCTCAGGATGGGACCAGCCTTGGTCTCACCATACCCAACAGGAAATGAGCATTCACTGAGCTACTGAGGCAAGTGAAGGAGTAATCCATGAAACTGAGGGGAGGTGAAGATAAAAGCTAGATTTATCCAGAGGACGAACAAAGTGGTGGGGACTGGGATCTGGTGGAGGGAAATGGGTGAGGCCAGCAAGTACCCCTCAGCCTTAAATGGACACTGCTCTGAACTTGCCATATTAATTCTGGTGGCCTTTTGTGTGAGTACCTCTCCAGCAGTTTTCTTAGTATACAAAGCAGGAGGCCAATGGTACCAACTGCTGGCACCCTGAGACTTTCCCAGAATCAGTGGCTTCCCATCCTCAGAAATCCCAAGAGAGATGCACAAATTCTTCTCTTTTTTGGTAAAGGAGAACAATAATAAGAAAGATGCTGCTTAAGGACACTTTCCAAGCCAGCTACTTTCATATGTTATCTTAGTTCATCTTCTCAACAGCCGTAGGAGGCAATTATTCATATGCCCATCTTATACATAAGGAAATAGACTCAGAAATGCTAAGTAGTATGCCCAAATGATATAATTAGTACTGGCCAGTCTAAATTGGAGCGCTTTTGTGTGGCTGCAGAGTCCACACTTGTAATCTGCAGGCTGCCTTGCCTCCTACCAAAAGGGCAGGATGGGACGCCCACGGCTCTTGGGAAGAGAAGAAAGCATTTAATGAGGGTGTGGAAGTGTCAAGAGAATTTTGCTTCTTCTCTGGTTTGTAGTATGTCACAGCTGGAAGATCCTTGAAGGACTGGATCCAATTCCCTAATTTTTCAGTTGGGTAAACTGAGGTCCAGAGAGAAGAGAGACTTGTCTGAGGCTTCACTGTGAGTTTGAGGTAGAGCCAGGAGAGAGTCCAGAGGTCAGCTCCTACCAGTGTTTTCTGGTCCTACTGGGGTGCATGCATAAAGGGCAAGACACTGAAATGAACCAGCACGCTCTCAGGATGGGACCAGCCTTGGTCTCACCATACCCAACAGGAAATGAGCATTCACTGAGCTACTGAGGCAAGTGAAGGAGTAATCCATGAAACTGAGGGGAGGTGAAGATAAAAGCTAGATTTATCCAGAGGACGAACAAAGTGGTGGGGACTGGGATCTGGTGGAGGGAAATGGGTGAGGCCAGCAAGTACCCCTCAGCCTTAAATGGACACTGCTCTGAACTTGCCATATTAATTCTGGTGGCCTTTTGTGTGAGATTCAAACATTTCCTCAATTAAAAAAAAAGCCTCAGAACTTCTTGGGGAATTGGAAGAATGCTGTATCTAACCTTCTCTGTAGTCTTATCTTAGGTAGGTCACTGTCCCTCTCAAGCCTCAGGTGCCTTATTTATAGGATATTGCCCCCACCAGATAGGGCCCTGCCTGGGTGACCATCAATGCCTGGAAGACATCTCAGTTTGTCATTTTTTCCCAAACGCAGCAGATGGGACTTGGGAGAAAACACAGATCTTCTCAAATGCTCCTGTACTTATGCCTGTGCAAGTCTGACCTGAGTTCAGTGATCCGGGGCCTCAAGGCAAGGAGAGTGAGGCATTGCCAAAGCAACAGAGCCCCAAGGAACACCTGCCAGGAAAAGCCTCCACCAGCGGGAGGGATTCTGTCGCTTCACAAACCTGTTCCAAGTAACCTCTCCAGTCATAAAGTAAGAAATGCCCACTGCAGGAAGTCAGAAAATACCGACGTAGCTCTCACTGCATTGCTCTAGGAGGAAGGACTTGGGCAAAGAGGAATTAATGCATTTACTATTTACTGTAAGGACTTAAATAGGAAATCTGCCTCTGATCCAGAACTGTGTGTACATTCAGGATAAAACTAATAAAGATGAAATATTAAAAACCCAACAGATCGGTACAAAATGAACTGCAACATCTTGTTATGCCAGAAAGTATAGAAGTGTTAAGAAAGAAAAAATGATGAGAGCACACATATCACAGGGAAACAAAAGCCAGCTTGAATGAACTCCCAGTGGCCAAATCTGGGACAATCTGAACCCCAGAGTAATTCAGAACAGTAATGAATTCTAAATCACTGGAAACACAGAAGTCCATGAGTTCTCACCAATAATAGAGAACAAAAGGAAAGAAGGAAGGGAAGGTAGGGAGGAAATAAACAGAGGAGGAGAAGAGAGGGCTCTTGCCTACAGAATTCTGAGTGCCAGCTGGACCACGTGAGGAGAGAGAGCTGTTAAAAGACTATCATTCTGCAAC